TAAGGTTACTGACCCGATTCGTTCCCTTTCTCACAAAATATTTTATTTATAAAATTGTCGGTATTCTTCCAATGGTCATGAATCATCTAGTATTTGATTTGACGGCTTACAATTTTTTTGAGCACGTTCTGACCAATTATGTTGTGAAATTGCTTTGTTACTAGCTTTGCATCGGCGGATAATTATTATTTATTTTCTTAACAATTAATTTTGAATTTTTAATGTTTAATGATGATATGATTTATTGTGATTCTATTAATAAAATGAAAAAAATGACAGATATCATAGATTTTTATGATATAATAATATCAATTTTGTTCTTATTAATTTCTTATTAATTTCATAAATGGATTTTATTTTATTGTTTTTGTAATTTAAAGTCATCAAATATAGTATATTATTGCCATTAACTTGTAGTAAATCTTACTTGGAGTTTGGTGGACTCTTTAGTAGACCACATAATTGGACGTGTCCACCAAAATGACAAATTAGGTTGACAATAAGATTGGTAAGATCGACCACATTGTCAATCAAGTCAACCGAATGCCAATAAGATTAACTTCTCCTTTTCTGAATATATATACTATTAATGGTAGTGGTTCTCCGTTCCATTAACATCGGTGTTTGAATTAAGGATCTAAGCAGTATAGATGTTGCGAGCAACCAATGTATAGAGTACGTACAAAATTGGTGAATGTTTTCTCATATGATTGAAAAAGAAGCTAGCCAGTGTGCCCGTCCATGCTTGCGAGACCATTCATGCCAGACCTATGAAACAAAAAAGAATCATAGTTAGAATAATATTAAGTAACACAAGAAAATGTGACAGAATGATAAAAAGAAACGATTCATAAGACTACCTGCTTCTTCATTTTCAAGAGGACCAACTGCGGCGCCATTGCCATTCTTGGGTCGTGGCCACATTCACATTGACTACTACTGAACAAAGGATGAGTATTCGGTCAATGGTAGAACATTGCAAAGAGAAACTACAACACAAAAACACAAGGGGCAGAGCATTGTTATTAGCATCATTCTTGGCAGGAATGTAACCACCAACAATCTCATTCTCTAATAAACACGAAAACATGTGTAGTGTTGAGTAGGTAGTAGCAGTGAAAAAAAATACTATAACGCAAAGATAGAGAGACAAAGCATTCAAACTGATATATACTATATACGGATACCTACTACCTTTGTACCCGGGCATTGGCCGAATAATTTTTATTCGACAACTGTAGTGTGACCTTTGATTTCCTTTTTATGAAGACCTTACCTCTTTGATTTTAGTGTATCCAGACAACATTGTTATTTGTAAATAATATAGACTAGTAATCAGCCCGCGCTCCGCGGCGGGATAAGTTTGACCCATGAAGTTTTATGGATTATGAAACATCACCCTGAGTATCATCGTTGTTTAATAACTTCTGTCAATGCAAGGAAACATAAGGCAGTGCATAATAACCTTGTCAAGTCCAAAAGTTGTCGCAAACCTAAAATCAAATTTGGACATTGTTTTCATTCTACTAAAGCGGGAGAATAGAAATCTAGTCTAGGAAAACAGAAGTGGATAGGATGCATCAGAAAGTCTTTTCGTCATTGATATCGATGATCATTTGTCCATTCTAACCGGATTAAAGCTATACGATAGACATTTGCGATACAGTAATTCAATATATATAAATCAAAGTGCCAAAAATATCTCCAACTCGTGAACCTAGCCAAATTAAGGCTATATGATAGATATTTTTGATTCGGCAATTCAATGTTTATATATCAAACTGCTAGAAATATGCTATTCCTACAAACAAAACAAAAATAATAAAAACATATAGCAATACATAAGTAACATAAAAATACCAGAGTAGCTAGGGAAAAACAAACAGATTTTTTTTACAGAAAACAGAGAAACATGTCCTTAATAGATAACATAAATAATTATAAATAAACCGTCCTGACAAACTAAGTTCCAAGTAGAACAGTTTTTAATCACACGAAGGCATTAGGGTTCCAGATTGAAGCAATTCGAATAGTAGGAGGATTTTCTGAACTCCCAGGAGCAATAAAAGCTTCTGCCACAAATGGCACATAACACCTGTCTTCAATGCACTTATATCCTTCTTCATAGGTTAAACTGAAAAGTTCCTCAGGTGAAACACAAACCAAGCCCAACACAGCTTCATGATCAAAGATAACATCAACATATTCGCCCTCACACTCACATGTTGCATGTAATTCATATCGTACCCTGAATTAAACAATGAAAGGAACGTTTTGATTTTCCTTAAATGCAATGGACAACAGATTATTAGCAAAACATAAAATTGAATCATACCTTGGAAACCTGAACTTGATTTAAAGACTTCTGGATCGTACGTAAATCTTGTCATTTCCAACATACAACAATAGAGAGTCTGAAGGAAGGAATTTTTGTTATAATAGGTTAAAGATATGACTATATATTTGGGATATGTGTTCTCCAACACAATTAGAACATACAATATTATACATATACCTGGTAGGCCTGTGAATGGAACATTATATCATCCTTTAGCTGCCTGAGTGTTCTTTTGGGAGGAAGAAGACCACGAAGATGACCAATAGAGCAGCGAGAAGTGCTATTGATGTAAGTCACTGGCATCCGATCACCTATGAACCTAAACAACAAAAAGAATGTATGTATTGTTTTTCTAACATCCAATAGAGTAGATTTGTCAATATATAGACATAGAATTCAAATATAATAATACTTATTCATTATTTTTTCATAATGGTGATTGTAAGAAGCAATGATCAGACGACTCCCAGGTGAAGATTGGAATACATATGCATCTCCAGTGCTATCTGTAACTGGCAACCTTGTAACAGCAGTAATTGTGGTAATGATAGGAAGCCGAGATTCAGATTCCCCTGCAAACTCCAAAAACTTTGTAACCCCAGATCCAGAGTAGTACACTGTCGCCCTGTCCCCTCTATACAAAATAACAAAAGATCAGTTAATCCCACATAAAAGTCTAACGAACAAAAGTCAACACAAGAATACGCAAGAAACCTGCAGTCTTCTATGATGAGCTCAAACCTAAAGACAACATTACTTGAAACCTCTGGAATTGTTAGATGAACAACGCAACCTGTAACATCTGCAATCAAAATTCATAGTAAGCAACTAATCATGAACAAATTTTGTGAAAACAACTTCTGAGGACAATACCTCCATAATTCACAACTGTTTCTGCCTCTATTGGAACAGCCGAGAATGAAGTTTTCTGAAAAGTATTGACAGGAAACTTGGGATAAGTCGGATTGTCAAGCACGCAAAATATGATATGTTCACTCCTTAAGCCGAAGCGAACTTCAGCGGGAACAACACGCATGTTTTCCCTCGAAGGAATAACATGAAAGCCATCAAGAACATGTAAATCGCCTACTATCAACTTATGCTGTATTTCTTGAATGTCATCTTCCTCAATACAGGCCTCTAGCATATGTTCCTGTTAAATGTGATTTAGTGCATTACCACAATCAAACGTAAACAATAAATATTACATTATATAGACGAATGACAGACCTCTTTGTCTAGACACAACACATGCATTGTTCTTCTATGCCCTTGAGAGTCATCACTATACTCAATCCATACATTAAGAACTCGGATGATCATAATATCAGTATAAGCACCAAGACGGAGGCCACGAAACACCATGCATGTGGAAATTGGGTCTGTAATAAACAAAAGACAAAGAAAAACCCCTAAACTTAACACTTCGGCAGTGTTCATTCATAAACCAACAAATAGAAACTTGAAACAGAAAGCAACAGAGTCGATACCTCGTGGAAGAGTTGGAAGTTTGAAGTCACGAGGCATTATACAACGATGGCTGATATAAAAAGACAATAGAAGATAAAAAATTGGTTCAAGTGCAAAGAAACAAAGACAGAATGCAAAAGGAAAAACTATCGGCGATCATACCCCATGAATATACAACTATCTCTGATCTGGAAGTTGCGAAGCACTGTAGCTTCTGGGAAAAGGAGTTCAGAGAACAGGGGAAGTTGAAAAGGCAGAATTAGAACTGAAATGAAAAGGCGGTGGAAGTTGGTCCCCAAAACGATTTCTTACTACCATTATAAAATCGTATATTGGAGATTAAGTGGGCCATAAATTGTTCCCCAAATGGACCGAACCATTATAAAATGGGCTTCCAAAAAACTATAGAAATTTAATATAAGCATAAAGCCATTTCTTATTCGGGCTAAGTATGAGAATACTGGGCCAATTCATATATCTATTTACATCATAAAATAGGGCCCATTATTTATATCTATCTATCTATCTATCTATTTATAAATTTATTAAAAGGGCCACATCAGCCTTAGTCTAAATCTACCCTTCCACGTCAACACACCTAGAAATACAGTAATTATCGTTTTCCATTAGCGACTGTCTGTGAAACAGAATAACTCCTGATTTCCTATTCTAAAATTCAAACCCTCTAAAAAAATAAAAACATTTCATAAAAAAATTTGGTAACCGATTCCTCAATTTTCTCCTTCTTTACTGAAAAAATGTATACAATAAAAAGGGCAAAAAGTAAGAGCGTATGAGGTGAGAACGGGAACTGTGGGCAAATGATAATAACAATTTGCATAGTTATATATAATTATCAATGTAAACATCAATCACATGTAATTAAAAAGTAAGAGCGAATGAGATGAAGCAATTTGCATAGTTATATTTCCCGCTAGTATCCTTGCCCGCACTCCGCGTCGGGATTGGAATTATACTTGAGTTTATCTAAAGGAAATAATATAAATTGTATTTTATTGTTATAAAAAAGTGTATGGCTCAGTTTCCATAACAATATCGTGAAGAAACGATCATACAATTTGCATATCCTCATTTGATGAGCATTATCATATCTATTTAGGTGTTCAAATAGTATATTAGAAGAATCTTTTTTTGTAATTTTGGGTCTCCGACTCTATTTCAAAATCAAATTTGTCAAAATTTATATTCATTAGCCCAAGATTTATATGGGCATGGCAAATAAATGGAACGACATCCAATACGTCGTTCTGCGAACAAACATGTTTTGCATTCTCTTCTTCATTTTTGTGGATCCACTGTCGTCTGCGTCGGGAGATGCAAAATATGAGTTTACTTATATGACCAATCTTTACTATAGATTGTAAAAAAATCAATTGTACTTGCATTCAGCCTGTGAACAACAATAAGATAGCTTAATAAGAACTTAATCAAACCCATGAACTATAGGCTGATTCAACCTTCACACCATCTCCCAACTAATGTTGAATCAATGAATTGACTATTGTAACTAAATTCTCAAATCTTACCCCACAATTAATCTTAGGAAAGTTTGAATCACCGTCCATATTCACAAACGACTTGGCAACATTAACAAAAAGGTCTTATGTTTACCCCCCACTGAACAATACCGCCACATGGTAAACCACTACAAAACCTGCAGCAGACATAACCATCCGCAGATCATGACCTCTGTGAAAGCAATCATGTGAAATAGTAATCACCCCTTCCTAGCAGTAGATCGCAGGTACTAAACAGCCATTCCCCTGTTATTGTTTTTATGCTGGACTCCTACTCTGGCCACTTTGAAACTCGTCTGCAGAGAACCCTTAAGCTGGAACAACTTTTCCTTGTCCTGATCTGCTTGTTCATGGTCGAGCAAAACACAACTGCAAGAATTAGTAAGCAAAGCCATAAAATAGGGGACGTTGACAACAAACGGAACGAAATCAGCAACCTACATAAGATGAGAAAAAATGATACATTCTCAAATACCCTCTATTTCATTCATCTCACGAAGAGCGGAACATCAGGGGCAACAACAATCACAAAATATCGCCCTTGATGAAATACTATGGGGCCAATGCACGCCTCTTTGACAATTAGAGAAAGAAAGAGAGAACTAACTCTCAAAGAAAAGTGAAGCAAAAAAGTTTAGCAAAAACACAGAAACAGAACCATCGGACGTTGATCTCCTCTGAATCGTCTCGCAACTGCCATCTGACCATTCTGTCTCCTGATCAATCTCAAACCCAAGGATAAATACAGAGAAAAATCAGTCAAATAAACTGAAAGTGCCAATGGAACTTGAGACATAGAGATGAGGAGCAAGTTGAGAGATGAATCATTATACGTCAAAAATGGAGTGATAGAGAGGGAAAAGGTATATAAAAAGTGAGTGGAGACCCATGAATCCTTCAAGTTCTCAACGCAAACTCCAGAGTCAGCAAATATGGTTTCCCTCCTGTTGGTGACTTCGCAAATCTAAGGAGAGTTAACAAAATAAGACAGATTGATCAGTGTAGAAGAGTGATGGTTATGGGAATATCTACGACGGCGGTGGGATGCAACCTTATAGATTCCTCGTTGGATCTGCGGACACCCTTGAATCCGCTCCTTAGTTTCCCACCATAAACATCATCGGCGACGATGGAAATCCCAATACCTCCTTGCTCCGATGCCGGGATCAACTCACGTCTTTTGGAGGGACTTGATCATTGCTTCCAAGAACGAATATGAAACCGAGAATGGAGAATGAAATTGATTAGAGTTTGGTGCAAAGAAAACAGATGAAATAGATTTTTCGGAGGCAGAAAGAGGGTGCTCTTAAGACTATCAGAGCTAGATACCAGAGTTTCTTGGAACTATTGAGAAACATCGCCGCGGGGACGGCGGAGGGCCTCCGGTGTCTGGTCACACTGGCGAAGATCCGGAAAGAGAGGGAGAGAGAAGAAGAATAATGGTCACCGACACGATCTCGACGATCCCCATCCCGCCAGTCACCTGCAAATCATCAAAAATTAAACATATGGCTGGTTGCTGCCTTGGTGGAAGCGGAGGCGACGGAGGAGGCGATGGTGGAGCGGCGATGACGACAGTCGTGGAGGTGGAGGAGGCGGAGGCGACAGAGGAGGTGGCGATGGTGGAGGCGGCCATTTTTAGAGATTGAAGAGAGAGAGGAGAAAGAAAGGAGAGAGATGAAGGCGACTGTTGAGGCGGTGGAGATGGTGAAGGCGGCGGCGACGGAGGAGGTGGCGATGTTGGAGCGGTGATGACGACAGTCGTGGAGGTGGAGGAGGCGGAGGCGACAGAGGAGGTGGCGATGGTGGAGGCGGCCATTTTTAGAGATTGAAGAGAGAGAGGAGAAAGAAAGGAGAGAGAAACTGAGATGAAAAAAATGGGGGATGAATGCGTACAGATGGAATGAAGCACCTAATAAATTAGTCTCTCACCCCCCTACAAAGCAGAGCTCTTCTCCCAACGAAACTGTATGGCGGAAATTGGGAGATAGGTAGCCTATATGGTGGGAAAATGGTCACCAAACTTCGTTGCGAAGGATCACAATAATCAAGAAACCCCTTTGCCTTTTCTGCTTTCTTTCTCATCATCTACCCCCTCACAGTGGTGAAGTTCTCAAGAATTCTTGGGCAGAGGGAATCACATGCCATTTGAAGGAGGGAAGGATCGAGAGAGATAAAGAAAGCGAAGGGAAAATGAGCGTGGAGCTGAGGGCAACGCGACACACACAGCAACAACGGCGGGACCCAGACGCAGGTAGCCAACCAATAAGCAAAGGCGGCTGGTCCCAATCGCAGAGGACGCACCAATGGGAGGAAGGTGAACAGTAATTTTGAGTTTAAATGAACAGTAAATTGTGTCTAGATGAACAGTAACGTGTCTTTGCAAATAACTTGTTCTAATAAATTGTACGACGTACGTATTAGCACATGATTTGTAAACTTACATAAAATATTTGCAAACATTTATGTGTAAGGTTTATGAATTTTATGTTATAGTTTACAAAATATTTGTGAAAGTTACGAATTTTTTGTTACAGATTCTTTGTTAACCATTTATAAATGATAATGGTATAGTGAGTGCTTTCAAAATTCAAGGTGTACATTACACTTCTATGTTTTACTATTATCAATATTCCCATTGTAATTATACTGTTTTTAATCATGAATGTTTTCTGTTGATATAATTTATCCGTTATAAGAAAATTTGTGTTTTTAGTATGAGCCTCACTCTATGTTCATCTAACTTTGAAGTGATGTCGATCCTCAACTAATAGATTGTAGTCCTCAGCATAAGAACCTTACATTTGTTGTTTGTCAAGGTAGTCCGCTCTTAATGAGCATCCCTACTCTTATACTACTTGGTTCTTGTACCATTATTTTATTAATCTTCTATATTACTCTCCTAACAACTCTAATTTGTACCATGCTCTTTGTGTATATGATCTTTCTTATGTTTTTCTTGTAAAATTTATAATATAACTTATGACTGAGATTGATAATGTTTTAAATATTTTCTTAACTGATAACCACATTCTAAAAAGACTCATTTAGTCTCAAGAAGGAATGACATTGTACTGTGAATAATTAATATATATAAATCTAAAGTAGGGTTATTGTTGCCTAATTCCTACACCAGCTAATTAATGGGCTTCCTACTAATTCCTACACAGCCGCTAACAAAATGGGCTTCGTTGTATTTTTGGGCTTAGTAACAACCATTTATTTTATGGGCTGTAGCAGGCACTTTAAATTTATTTTATGCGGCTTTGTTTTTTGGCCAGGCAGCAGAGCTGCAGAGATCATTGCCTTCTTTCTTGAAGTTTTTATCTGCTTTCTGCTTCTCTGTCCATCTGCCGGGTTTTGCTTCTTCTCTAATGGGATTTCTGTTTCTTTCTCTTTCTATCATTGCGATTTATCTTTCTATCATTGCGGTTTAGTTCTCACATTCTGGTTGGGAATAACCCATGTGATGAGACAGAGGTTACCCTTGATTATACAGGTGTCGATTATAGGGTTTCTCTCTTTCGATCATTGCGATTTAGTTCTCATTCAGGTTTGAAAATTTATCTGCGATCTCATTCTGGTTGGGAATTAACCCTGTGATTAGACAGGGGTTAGCCTTGATTATACAGGTGTCGATGATTGGGTTCCTCATTATGCAGGTGTCAGCTTGAGGATTTACTAGGAGCATGTGTTGCCTATCGTGCTGGCCTACAATTAGTGGTGCAATGGTTGCGGCAAGATTACCCGGGTAAGATTTCTTCTCCCTTTTTTGTAGGTTAAGCTTCTGTAGTGTTTTGAGGTCGCCTATAAATTGTGCAATCTCCCTAATTCACATGTAAATTGTTTCTTTCACTTGGTTTCTTTCAGTGACGGTAAGTGGCTAATAGAAAAGCTAATGGAAGAGTACCCACAAAATGTTCAGATTTGTTTTTAATTTCAGTTCGGGTTTCACTTTAAATGATCATGAGCTTATAAATAAATTGTGTGCTTTGTTTTAGCTAGGTTAACGAAAACACCTTTGGAAGGGAAGACATTGTGCCTAATATGGTGCAGTTTGGCACTTTTAGCTTTATATTGTTGGAAACTTTGAGCATCAGAAGTAGGAAGTTTCGGAGATCCATCCGATTGTGATGGCATGCTTGGCATTAAGGAACTCGGTATTCAGATGTTCAAGACTCTATTTGAGGTTTGTGTTATGAAGAAAAAATGAGGTGGGTTGGCATGATGAGTTGTAAACTGTGGTGTGGTGTTTTACTTTGAGCAGCTTGATTTACAAATGCGTTAATATATATAAAATTGAAGTGAGGTTACTGTTACCTAATAGTTTATAATTTGATACTCCAAATTTAATTAAATCACAACTTAGTCACTATAATGTAAATTTTACATTTTATACCCCAAATTTAATTTTGATGTAAAATAATTGAAATTTTATATTTTGATATCTAAATATTATGAGATATTTATACCTATAGTTTTTAAAATTACATATTGGTCTAATATTTAGATTTCTTTTGAATCCATGAATCCAATCCACAAATTCTTTTGAACCAATCCACCATAACATAAAAGTATAAATTTAGTTAGTACAATACAAGATATTGTATAACTTAACTTTACGAGAAGATTCGACCAATTTACAAGAGCGAATTTATAAACTCATTCAATACATTTACGGGTACTAAACAAATTTTTACTAACTACATGTAACAAAATATGTGACATCTTTAAAAGCAAGTGTCTATAAATTGCTACGGCGAAAAGGGTTGACTGTTGTATTGACGGTCAAGTAAAAGAATTGGTCAAAACCTTTCCATCATCTATTTCCTCTTCGTTTCATTTTTCACTAGCCTTCCATAGACCATAACGCTTTCTTTATTTCTTTCTTTGTCTAACCCTAATTAGTAATTAGTATACTATTTTTATGTATTCTAATCACAAGTATTAACGGGTCCATACACGAATCACCAACAGGCTAGAGAACTAACAATTGAACCATGAACCACTAACTTTCAGCTCAATGTCGAGTCCAATTAAAATTAAATATATATGGTTATTACTTATTAGAAAATCATCATTTTTCACTTTGGGATTTGAGGGCGTGAATTTAAGCGAGTTCCAGTTTGTATTCCTTTTGCTTCTCTCTAGAGTTTCTCTTTCTCAGCCGGGCTAGAATTTCAACAATTATACATGGAATGTTTGGCTAACTATCAAATAAATATTTTCCATTTTTATACCAAAAAATTAAATAATTATGATATTAAATACATCACATAAAAAGAATTAAGCCTCAACTATGCAAATTAGATTTTTGAACCTAAACTTAATATATCTTTATATTTATAACCTAAATTTATTTTTGTGACATATAAGTCCTCAAAATATTGACGAAACAATATATTTTAGTACCTAAATTTTTTTTATTACATTTTGGTACCTAAACTTTTGAAGTTCTGAGTTCTAATTCTTGTATGTGTAATTAAAACACCCTCAAATAAATTGATATCCATACCCAAGTCATACAAAATTAGATTATGCAAGTAAATATACATACCCTATCCAAACCCATCTACAAACTTTCAAACTCATATATACGTCACACATACCCTACCCATAATAATCAATGGGTCTACTTGGTTTTGGTAAATATCATTTACTAGCTAGAATTTTAAAAAATCTTTAAATTGGATGTTGACTGCCATATATGTATTCTTAGTCAATATCATATTATCAAATCAATATTACTAACAAAACTGCTAACAAAAAATTAATTTTAGCCTAATAATTTATAATTAGTTGAAATATGAAGTTTTTCACTTAACTAAAGTATCATTGGGTGAAAAAGTAATTTAAGATAAGTAAAAATAGGAAAAAGCAGTTAAATATTTAGACAAACTAAATCAAGATAGAATGAGTTAAGAACGGGACAGAAGTAGTACATATGTTCTACTCAACACGGATAATGTAAACGTAAGTCGAGTTCAAATTGCTATCACTACTTCTGTTTCAACCTATAATACCTTAACCCAATTGCCACTAGGTCAATCGTTGGATCCTCATTAACAGCCATTGATGTGAATGTCATAAAGAAATATATTCAGATAAGGAAATTATATTTGTTTGTTATTCGTGGGTTGGAGCTATTGGAATATCCTTTGATCTTTTTTTAGGATTGAAATTTTAATTTTTTTGTTCGTTCAAATTAGGTAAAGGACTTTGGTTATTTCATTTTCTCTATTCTATCATTAACCGACAATTCTGTTAACCATAAGTCCGCAACAAAGTGCGGATAATTGTCTAGTTCAATTTTAATTTTAATAAAACGGAAATGAAAAAAAATGATGTGCGACAATAGTGGCCGAGGTGGATTAGTTTGGAGTTCCAAATTGGATAAAGATTAAGAAAAGAACAAAGGACAAAAATTGCCATTGAAAAAGAAGTAACCATTAAAAAGGGGAGAGGTGGGGGAAAGAATTTCATTGGACCTGGTAAAACTTCCAACGAGAAGAAAACAATTTTTATTTTGCAGAAAAAATGTTTTTTTACAGATTCATTGTTATTTGCTTAATGTTGTCCTAATGTGGAATAGCAAGGGAAAATAAATTTGAATATTTGATGTTTTTAATGAGAATGTGTTTATTATATTTTATAGATAATTGGATTGACAAGATAAGATAGTAATCACCAACTACTGGAGCCAAATAAAGGTTTTCAAATGATCCGAAAGAGTTATCAGTTTAGTTTAATACAAAAAATACTTAATCACGATTACAACCAAAAACAAAAATATATTGTCTTGTAAGCATAGTTTCTTCCACTATTATACCATTGTTAGCACTGTCAATGTCCTCATCAATATTGTTAACAACCAAATTTTCATTCACTAGTAGTATCAACAACACAAAATCATACATGGAAAACTTTCAAACAGATACGTACTTGCATTTGAATGTAGAAGGTAATAATCACCAACTCTTATAACTATACTAAGATTTATATAAGATGTATTAGATATATTAGTTTAGTGTGATAACACCAATAATTTTTATAAAAAATTATAACCTAAAAAAATACTCTCTCCAATTGGCAGATTTCCTTCTTCAACTCTAGCTTACTGTTCGACAACAAAGGCATCAAGCAAGGTTGGAGCAAAGTAGTAAACATATCATTATCTTGACCAATTGCGATGAAAGACCCTCTATCATACCTGAGTATCATTCTTCAAAATGTTGCTTAGCTCTTATTAGTAGAACTGTTAAAAGATTGATCAAAATGAGAGAGAGAGAGAGAGAGAGAGAGAGAGAGAGAGAGAGAGAGAGAAGTTCATCTACATTCACTATAAGTTTACTTAAGAATGATAGGAGTGATCAAGAGATCATCCTGATATGCGGAACGCAAATGAAGAAGAAAGAAAAAAGAGGTAGAAAGCATACACTCAGTTCTAACAATCGCAATGGCTAATTACATTGTGGTACCTTTGTGTCAAAAATTTTGATCCTCATTCTTAGACCACCTAACAAGATCCTTAGATGTCATAGCCCAGCTAGGATACAAACCACTGTAGGGTGAAGTCTTTCTTTCCTCCCAAACCCAACACATGTTATTTTTCTGAAATTAATGACCAAGTGAGAAATTAACATTAATTATCATTAACACACATTATTTTTGTATGCATAATCGACATCAAACTCAACCATGTTAATGTCGTAGGCAAGAGGTTGCGGCATCTGCAACTTCATATGCCTTATTATCTCTTATGGAAATCAAATCAAATCTGGCTTGTTCTAAGGCATCATATAGTTGTTTCAATGCAAGATTTAGTTAATCTTTAATCATTTCAATTTCCATATGCAATGATTCTAAGAGATTAGAATAGAGGTAAAACCCGAACTAAAGTAGTGTTAGAAAGCATCGTATAGTTGCTTTAGTGCAAGATTTAGTTGTTCTTTAATCATTTCAATTTCCATATGCAATGATCCTAAAAGATTAGAACAGAGGTGAAACCCAAACTAAAGTAGTGTTAGAAGGCATCATATTGCTGCTTCAGTGTAAGATTTAGTCGTTCTGTAATCATTTCAATTTCCATATGCAATGATTCTAAGAGATTATAACAGAGGTGAAACCCAAACTAAATTAGTGTTAGAACATATTAAAAACATAACCAAAGTTTCACCAAACACATGTGAAACCCTAAGTATACCAAAGTTTCATCAATGAAAATTCTTATTAAATGTACAATAAATCGGAAGCAAGTAGAAACATAGTAGTAAGGGAACAAAAAGAATGAAATCAAAAGTAAGTTAACAATACATGAGTAAGGGAACAACAAGAAAAGAAATTCAAGAAGGTTAAACAACATGTAAGAACCGAGGATACGCACGAGAATACCTCAAATTGAAGCTCTCAGAGTAAATAAGATTTGAAATAGTGCACGATCGGGCAAAGAAAGACAAAGTTGAAGAATAGGTAGAGAAATCCTTCAAATAACAAGGAAGAATGAGAGATCCGATCCACAATCGCTGGGCCAAAAGATAACAAAGAATCGCACATGTATATTGGTATTGAACATGTTTGAAAAAAGTATTAGTATTGAACATATTGTTCAGCTCTAACTAGTAGAATTTTTCAGGTCATTGATCGAAATTGGAGAAAGTGAGAAATTCATCTACATTCACTATAATTTTACTTAAAACTGTATAAAGATTGATTGTAGAGATCATCCTGATATGCAGTAGTAAAGGAAGATAAAAGAGAGAAATGACGCGAAATATACACTAATCTTTAACAACATCATTTGCTAATTACATTAAGATCTCATTTTACATTGGTTTCCCACACTTATAAAATCTTTAAATTTCAAAGTCCAACTATGATACAAATTACTATAGGGTGAAAACTTTCTTTCCTACCCAATCCCACATCATGTTATTTGTATGAGATTAATGATCGACTGAGTAAATAACATTAATCTTAATTTATACTATCACTAATTTAGAGTAACTTTTTGGCACGTAGTATTTTGTAAGATTCACAATTTTTCATATCATTTTTATGATTTAACCTTTTATATAATTCATTAAGTTCCAATAAGGTAAAAACTAAATAAACATATAATCATCATTATTAAAATTTAAACTTGCAACATATGAGTCCAAATTATTAGCAGTTAAACCATTTATCCAATAGGTTGAGTTTTGTTTGATGCTGTTAAGCGCAATAAAATTAGCACTCATGTTATCAAATGAAGTTATAACCTATCCTCTTACTCTTTTTACTTTATTGGTTGACCTCATGCTTCATTTTGAAAAATGATGGGTCTGATTTCTACATAAATTACATTAGGAAAAAAATTCATGAATAAGTAGTGTATTCTATGCGACTACAAGAAATCATTAGCTGGTAAACCATTTATCCAATAGGTTGTCGGATCCACATCCGGTATAAACAGGGAGCAGGTAAGAGCATTTAAGAAAGTTGGATTCTCTCTCTAAAACCAGGAATACCACTTAAATCTCTAGAGCATATCCTAACTGGACCTAAGAAGGGCTAACCGCGTGTGCGCATGTGCAAGTGAAACAAGGAAACAACATGAAGTCTTAGAATCAAAGCTCTAATAAGGTGATTATCATAAAATAATGACAAATACAATGAATTCATCCGACCAACGAGTCGAGCAAAACTTAGTTTGATAATAGATGCACCGTGTGTAATCAAGGATTATAAGGTTGAGCTGGTAAGCATGGGGATGATTCCTCGGGATGAGTTAGCTTGGTTACTTAATTTTTAGTAATCACGGTGGCTACCTTAATCTATACCATTCATTATTTTTTTTCACCCTAATTTTAAATTAACGATGAAGATTATATTAGGGTAATTTTGGAATTGAAAAATATACCACACCAGATTACTCTATAAATTAGATCCAAACCCTACCCTATTGCAACCCGCCGCCAACCGTAACCTGTCCCTCCCCGTAACCTCCCGCGACCCTCATCCCTCCCGAGAACTTCCTCCACCGCCGGCCGGCCTCCCCTCCACCACCCTCCTCCCTTCCCCTCCTCTCTTGTAAAGCAGCGGTGTCCGGCGATGGCGACGAGACACAACGGAGCTCTCTTCTTCCGGCTCTCGGCTCTGATTCTTCTTGCTGGCCGCGATTTTTCTTTGCTTGTTTCTATTTGAGTTGAATTCATCTGCGATTAAATAGCTTGCTATTCTCTTTTCCTTACCCATGTTATGCAGATCACACACAGTCTGCTGATGGCGACAGTGCTAAATGGCAAGGAACGGAATGAGATGAAGTTCTATTGGACTATATTTGCTTTTTAATGGCAATTGGAAGGAGGAAGGAGGAATTCCATTGGAATGGTATGTTTTTTTTTTAAATGGTAGTCATTTTTTTTAGTAGTGATTTTTTTTAAATGGTAGTCAATTTTTTCGTAGTGGTAGTGTTATTGTTGTATTGGTATTGTTTTTGTCGCATTGGTATTATTTTTGTCGCATTGGTATTGATTTTGTCGCATTGGTATTGATTTTGTTACATTGGTATTGATTTTGTCGCATTGGTAGTGATTAAATCTGCAATGGTATTGATGTTTTGTGAAATGGTAGTGTTTTTTTTTCTTGAATGGTATTGATGTTTTGTGAAATGGTAGTGTTTTTTTTTCTTGAATGGTATTGATGTTTTGTGAAATGGTAGTGTTTTTATTTCTTGAATGGTAGTTTTCGTGTAATGGTATAAATTTATTTCTGCAACGGTAGTTTTCGTGTAATGGTATAGATTTATTTCTGCAATGGTATTGATATTTTTCAAAGTGGTAGTGTTTGTCTAATGGATTGGTACTGATTTCGTTTTTTTTTTTTGTAGAAAGATTGAGAAAAATATGGAAAGGAAATCTGGCTGGAGATTACGGAAGTGAGAGAAAGAGAGATTTTTAATTAATAGATTTTTGTAACTACCTTAAATGTAATTTATTAAAAAATTAATTAATATAATTTATTAAAAAATTAATTAATATAATTTATTTTTCCATACCCAATTTACCCTCAGTAACCACGGTGATTACTACTTTGTACTAATCACCGTAACCTGTCCCATGATTCCTCTAATTCTGATGAGGATTTTGATGGTAGCCATGACGATCTAACATGACTGCGCATGCAACTCAGCCTGTTCGTTCATTATAGGTCCAGTGGACCATTTCCAATGTCCACGGGCTCTAAAAAGCAAAATAATATCACGAGCTCAATATAAAAGTTGAGGCTCAGTCGGAAGCCACTTGGGCCTGCCTCTAACACGTCACGAGTGGACACAATAAAAGGACAGTGGGTCAATTATTGCGATTAATTTTTCACCCTGTGGGGATTCTGCTATAAATACCAGTCGAAGGAACCTTCAGATTGACGCACAGACAGAAATATATTTCTTTCCTATTCCTCTCCTAAACTCTAACACGCATGGTTTGCCATAAACCCCAAATTTAGAGAGACTAATTAGGCTCTGTCTAGCCACTAATAAGGCCAGAAAGAGGTCAAAGTGAAGATTGCAGAAACAGTTCAAGCAGGTAATTGCCTCTCCTTCCCTAATTATATATTCTTCTAAACAGAATATGATCTTGTTATTACATACTAACAAACTGTTAATTAATTAAGTACTTTATCATTTTCTACTCATTTTCTTTTCTTTTTTTCAAAACCCAATTGATGGAATTCATTATTAGTCTACCACCAAATCATGATGACTGATGAGGCCACTCAATAACGCACGCATGTGAAAAAAGATAAGGCAAATGGTTGGTATTTTTTTTTTTTTTGTAAAGTAGTGGAGAGATAAGGCAACCTCCAATTCTTTTTTTTGAAAGAAAAGTGAATCTGGGGGAAAATGTTAGTGTTGGAACATGGCAACAGGGAGTAGGGACACCGATCATCACCATTCTCACCGCCGGCCGTTTGCTACCGACGGCGAGCTCAAAGTAGAAACATTGGGAAAGAAAGTAGATAAATCTGCTCCCATGTACAAACCAACGGTCTAAGAATTTATACGAGAAACCCAGATCTGAAAATGGAGAACCTGATCTAGTCAGGAAAGAATGGGGGAAAAAATGGAGAGGAGAGAGGATGGAAGCCACCGGCGTTGAAGAGAGAGAGAGAGAGTCCGGAAAAGAACTAAGAAGAAGGGTAGACGGGGGATAAGATAAAATATTAGAATGTCATTTTTAGATTTTAGCCGACAAATCAATCAGGTCGCCTGTCTGTGAGGGTAGATTGCAGAAACGGCCACTGAAGTCTGTGATCACTGACACATCAGCCACCCAAGTTCGTTCTTTAACGAATCTATCACTGAAACTAAACCGATAGCATCTTTTAATGTAATGTTACGTTGCCGATGTTCACTTACCTGATCCATCCGCTCATTTGGAGAATTTAACGATGATGATTCTGTCCTCATTCCACATCTGAAACCACAGAGAAACTTTTTGGGAGCTCAGAGAAATGAGGAAGGAGGAATTCCTCAGCAATGGCACTGCTTTGTCGAGCAGCAGCGGAAGCAAAAGCACTGAGGACAAGGAAGGAGGAGTTTGCCGCAACGATTTCCCTCCTGATTTTGTCTTCGGAGTTGCCACTTCTGCCTATCAGGTGCGCCCTTCTTCCTTTACTGGGTTTTTCTCATCTCAATCAAAGCTAACTGCTTTCCTTAATATGATAATGACGATTGGCGTTTTCCGATCGCTTTGTTTGGATTTTTCTTGTGTGGTTGTAGATTGAAGGTGGCGCCAATGAAGGTGGTAAGGGGCCAAGCATTTGGGATGCGTTCACCCACATTCCTGGTTTCTCCCTACCCCCTTATCTCTCTTCGCTCCTTGCATGTTCCCTCCATTTTTGTTAACTTTGCAACGCTTGCTTAGTTTACTTCTATGTTCGTCCTTAGGGACTACACTGGATGGATCCAATGGTGATGTGGCTGTGGATCATTACCATCGCTATAAGGTCTCACCTTTCTTCCCACCCTTTCTATCTTGCCAATTTTGTCACTTTTTTGTAATCAGTTACTCCTTCGGTACATTCTTCAGTTTTCTTGCCATTACGTTGCTGTTGTAGCAGCCCTTTAACCCCAAATTGGCACTGAGTTTAGTGATGATGAAGTTAGATGTCTCGATGTCAAGTTTCGGTGTGATTAATGCAGGCGGCTTCAATGTAATCCAGTCTACCATTTAACCTCGTTCCACTTGTTGCCAATACAGGAAGACATTGAACTGATATCTAAACTGGGATTTGGGGCATATCGGTTTTCCCTGTCATGGTCTCGGATATTACCTGGTAAACGTGTTCTTCATACTCTTATTACTCGCACTGGAACTACAATATTCGATAGACGTTATATATGCGTAGTAGCTTACTATGTAATAATTTCCACATGTGGCTTGCAGATGGTACTGGAGATAGAGTTAACGATGAAGGGGTTGCATTCTACAACAACCTTATAAATAGTCTCTTAGAGAAGGGTAATATATGAAGTCTTTATCTTGCTAGATTTTCTGTGTCATTTGTAACAATCTGATGAGTCGATTACCTTGAGTGCAGGCATTGAGCCATATGTAACATTATATCACTGGGATCTTCCTCTGCACCTCCAAGAAGCTCTCGACGGGTGGTTAAGTAAAGATATTGTGTGAGTGTTTTTATTGACGCGCAAATATTTCTTCTGTTTCTGTACACGGTGTGGGATTTATACTCTTAGAAACTTTTTAAATGGTTGCAGGAAGTACTTTGCCAAGTACGCAGATGTTTGCTTTGAAAGTTTTGGTGATCGGGTTAAGAATTGGATCACAATTAATGAACCACTCCAGACAGCAATTAATGGACATGATAGTGGGATATTTGCACCTGGAAAATGTGAGAAACCCAAAACAGAACCATATTTGGCTTCTCATCACCAAATCTTGGCCCATTCAGCTGCTGTTTCTGTATACCGGAGAAAGTATAAGGTACAAGGCTGATTCAATTGCAAGCCCAAAAGTTGGAATCTCGTACTATGATAGTTTCTTCGGCTAGTTGGCCTTATGGCTTTCTGATTACATTATGCTATTCAGGAGAAGCAAAAAGGACAGATAGGTTTGGTGGTGGACTGTGAATGGGCAGAAGCTAACTCAAACACTCCAGAGAACAAAGCTGCTGCAGCCAGGCGCCTTGACTTTCAGCTTGGATGGTAAAGTTCTCTTTAAAATTTCTTGGGCCAATTATAGTTATACTTGTGTGTATGATGGGACTCAAGCTTTCTATGCCATTCTTTGTTTGTAATGTCTCAGGTACTTGCACCCATTGTACTATGGAGAGTATCCCAGTAGTATGCGTGAAATTCTTGGAGATCAGCTGCCTGAGTTTACAAATGAAGAGAAACAAGAGTTGCTTCAGAACTCGATGGATTTCATTGGTCTAAATCACTATACTTCAAGGTTCATCACTCATGCACCCGACAGTGATGAGCCAAGTTACTACTACAGAGCACAGGCAATGAAGAGAATTGGTAATAAGTCAATTGCATTGGTTATGTGATCTGATATGGCGAAGAGCTCTTTTCTCGCGCTAATTGATTACTCTCATTTGTGATTTGTGACATCAGAGGAATGGGAAGGAGGTGAACCAATTGGTGAAAGGGTATGTATCTCTGACCCTCTTTGTAGAATAAACGTCAATGCTTTTAATGCTTAAATGGTCACTGAACTACTGATCACCGAAACCAAAAATGTAACTAGATGAAGTGATTCGTAACAAAACAGCCACTCATTTCGTTCTGTCTAGTTTGTTGTTAGTTCGATTTAGTCAGGCCTAGAAGCCACTGTTTCATTAGATTTCACTAGGTAAAGTTAACAAATGTGTTACACACACTACAGTTCATTGGCTATCTAGGCAATCTATATTCAATTCGTTCACTAACATACTTAGGAGATGACGTTACGCTGTGCAGGCGGCTTCGGATTGGCTTTATGTTTGCCCATGGGGACTGAGGAAGGTCTTAAACTACATGGCAAAGACATACAACTCCCCGAAAATATACATCACAGAGAACGGTAACATACTCGAGATAAGCTGTATGAAATGACAACCAAACTTTTAGTCATGCTGGATCTTATTAACAGTGTTTGTTACTTTGTTTGTTATAACACACGCCAGGGATGGATGATGAAGAGAGAGATGCCCCACTGGAAGAAATGCTGGACGACAAGCTGAGAGTCCGCTACTTCAAAGGGTACCTTTCATCTGTAGCTGCGGCAATAAGGGATGGAGTGAACGTGAAAGGGTACTTTGCATGGTCGTTGCTGGACAATTTCGAGTGGGCACAAGGCTATACGAAACGTTTCGGAATAGTGTATGTGGATTACAAGAACGGGGTGCTGTCTCGCCACCCCAAATCCTCTGCATACTGGTTCTTGAGGTTCCTTAAAGGTGGTGGCGATGGGGAAGGGAAAGACACCAAGCAAGATTGAGTTTTCTACTACAACTTATGTGGTTTGCTTGTTGAATTTTCTGTGATCAAAACCTGAATATGGAATATGAAGGATTTTAATATGGATTTGGACGTAATGGATATGAAAATTTAATTTTTGTTTGTTGGATTTGAACATGCATTTTATGTTGTCGAGTTTATGTATTTAAAATCTAAAATTACTTTACTATCCTTATTAATTTTCAATTATTACTTCAACCATTGAAAGTCAAGTTGGTAGTCTAAAATATACTCCAAACACATTCAAATAATGTCTGGTTACTAAATAGTAAGCAACAAATACTGGAAGTTAGAATTAGCTGTAGGGTACTTGATTTTTTTTTTCTATGACTTGGAGTTTTAAGAAAGTATATTTCTGACTTGTAAATGAACGTAAGTGATAAGATTAAGTGATAATTACATGGTTAAGCTCTAGAAAGAACCCTCTGTACTTTTTTTTTTATTTTTTTGCCAAAGAAAGAACCTTCTGTACATTGGTTCCTTTGCATAATTCCTATAAAAAAAACCCCTATACCTAGCAGTAGAACATGACGTTCTTTACATTGTGAATGATCTTCGGGAAGGGTTGGAACTTTTTGGCCATCTTTGTTGCATTCCTCTCATCTGATGAGGATCCCTCTATGTAGTATCGAGCTCGAGATGCAATCAGGCGGGCGTAACGCACAGGTGGTACTGCATTTTTTATTGCATATCTTAGTAATTTACAAACATAATATCAAAATCAACCCACCGGGACGAATCAATTACAAGTCAGAATAGTTGAAAGATAACTAAATATGTACCTGTAGAGATAGAATGAATGCACCTTGCATATCTGGAACAAAACAGGCGCACACGACTTTTAGTGATATACCACATACCAAAAGATTTTACAAGGAACCATTGCTCTAGTTTTGAAAACTCTCTCGTTTAGCTAGAGTCTAAGGGCGGCGGAAACCCTAGGGTTTTCCGGGTGTGTGCTGATTACTGATCCTTTGTGAAAAAGAAGTCCTTTTTTACATAGGTTGTGATTGTGAAAGCGGAGTTTTGGGTCTGGCTATTTAAAGAGGAGGACAGAAAGCGTTGTGCATCGAGCTAGTTTCGCTACAAGTGTTTTGTTACGAGGAAAACCATAGCCCAAGAAATCTTAGGTTTTTGGAGTAACGACTCTGTGCAAGAAGGTTGGTTAACCAGTTGTTACGAGTGAGAGTGGAGATATTGCTACATAATGGAAGCAATGGAGGAAGCGGTGAAGGATACGGCTACAAGCAAGGAACCCCAGGCCACTGTGGATCTGGAGACACAGATGCACCAGATTACTTAGGAAGATGAGGATGATTGATAGAAACCCGTTCTCCGGGATCTATCTATTGAGGGAAAAGGTGATTGATAATGTAAGGGAGCCTTGATTTGGGCTCCTTGTGTTGCTCGAGTGTACTGGGGAAAGGAAGAGGGAAGTGAAATGGAGAGGAAGGGGAAAGGGAAAGCTGCGCGCAGCTAGAGAGGGAAGGGAGGGTGGCGTCGGCCAAGAGAGGAAGAGGGAGAGGGATTAGGAAACTATTAGGGTTTAATCACTATGCTAATCTCATTCAACGTAGAAAAATAATTTAAATAACAATTCCTAATTACTGATGACTACCCCAACTTATTAAACCCCCAATCAAACCCCCCCCAATTACCCATAAATTCATAAACAATCATAAACTAGCAAATAAGTCCAAATGCTAATTAAATCGAAATGCAGGTTTCTATCAATGATGAACCGTTGGAGGTTGAAGACACTGACGTCGATGTGCTCCGCATGGAGGTAGTACATCGTCTGGGGCTGATTGGATGCCTCCTATATGAAAAAGAGCCAAACATCAAGTCAATGAAAATAGCGTTAGCAAAGGCGTGGAAGCTACACAAGGGTTTTCAGATCACAGAACTGGGTGACATTGTTAAAAACCCACTTTATTAAGGATTTTATTATTATTGCTATTAGTAATTATGGGGAGTGGCGGCTAATTAGTAGTAGGGTTTCATTAGTTTTATTACTAGGATTTTCGGTATTTACCTATAAATATGTATGCATGTTCTTTCATCAAGATTAAGCAAAGAATATAAAAAAAAGATTAAGCAAAGATTAATCAAAGAACTACCTCCCAAAACCCTAATCTCTTTCTCTCTCAATCTCGTCTACCTCTCTCTCCAAAGGCTTAGGCCATTCTTGCTGTTCTTCCCCATATTCTTCTTCCAAACCCTAATTTCTATTCTCAATCCCTAAATCTCTTTCTATCTTTCCGATTACGTCAATCTTTAGAAACCCTAATCAGCGGGTTTCTAACAGACATGCTATTTGCTTTTCAATTCCTTGATATGGACGATAGGAATAAAGTCTGTTACGAAGGACCCTGATACTATGAGAATTCACTTATTCTGTTCAAGGCAAGCACAACTATCCAAAAGCCAAAGCCTGAGGACCTACATATGATTGATTTATGGATTAGAGTTGAAGGTTTACCAGTAGAATTAAGAACACAAAAGATGGCAGAGAAGATTGCTACAAGATTTGGGGGCTTGATTGGTTTGATAATGGAGCTGGAACGATGTGGGATGATTATATGCGCTTGAGGGTGTATCTCTTGATAAATAACCCCCTCAAGAAAAAGATTAAACTGAACATATCGGGGAATTTAGTGGAATATCCAATAAAGTACGAGAAGCTGCCCATGTTTTGCTACTCATGTGGGCGAATTGGGCATCCCAAATTGAAATACAAGATGGAGCCGAAGCCTGAAGTGGATCCTTTTGGATACGAGCTAAGGGTGGCAGCCCCTGGACCCAAAAATTGGCTATCCTACACGGCTAAGAAGGGAGATGCTGAAGTTTGGGCTGCCTTGAGGCAGAAGTTTGAAATGGAGAGCATTGGCTCTAATTCAAATCACGATATGGCTCTGGAATATGAGTAAACCCTTTAGCCACCATTCTGGCTTTATGTCATTCCAATGAACTATCAACATTAAACTTTGATGCATACATCCATATGTTGCCTATAATTTTCTTATTTGGTAGTCTAGGCACAATGTCCCAAGTCCGGTTAGCTTTATGTGCTTCCAATTCTAAATCCATAGCCCTTATCCAGCGTTTATTTTTAACTGCTTCTTCAAATGAGTTGGGAATGCTTGCAGAATCAATGGCCATAACATACTTTCTATATCCTGGAGATAGTTGATCATATGACACGCAAGCAACCATCAGATATATTGGTTTAACCTTAGTGGTTCCTAGGTGCATAACATAATCATCATCCTTTACTGGTTTAACAAGATTCCTAGATGGTTTTCTGAGTGCAATTGGTAAAGAAGTAGATTGTGGTGAGGGAGGTACTAGAATAGAATGTATGCAGTTTTAATTGGAGAAGATTAGGGATAAGAAGAAGGAGAAGGAGAAGGCGAGGAAGAAGGAGAGGTTGGCTCATCGGATGAAGAGGTAGTAGGATCTGTTTCTGGTGGGACATTTGGAGTGGAAGTGAGTGGTGAAGATGGTGTAGAGATGACTGGGATGGTAGAATTTTGAGAATTGCCAATAATCAATGCAGTCAAAATCGAGATTTTAAGTAAAATCGAAAACTGAAGTATAATCGGAATCGTAGATTAAAATCGTAAAATCGTAAGATTTTAAGGTTCATATTAAAATACACACTTAAAACACCAAATTGTAATAAAAATGCATATCTTGAATAACAATCAATCACATAAAACATAATTACTTCCCAAAATAAGTTTGTTTTCTAAATAGACACAATTAGATGTATATATTTATTCTTGTACTTAATATAAACACACAAATAAGCAACCTAAAACCTAATAGAAATCACTTAATTAATAGTAAAGAGTAGAAAATCACATAAGATCATTAGGATCAACATTAACATCACTTACACATCATCGTCATCTCCTCACCTTCACCATCACTCTCATCCTTGTCTATTTGCTTGAGGACTACATTGCTCTTAGGATTACTTGAAGTACTTTCACCATTAACCATATTTCCCTTATCACCATCATCTGGCAATGATAACTCTTTGATTGATGCATTCCCTTCTTAATTGTTAAAAGGTCGGGGTTATTGGTACTGAAAGATTGGGATATGAACGAAAGCTTGCACTGGAATAGAAATTTGGATTATTGTGAGGGTAATGGGAACAAACTACAAGCTAATTGGTAGGGTGGAAGATATCGTTGATGGAAGGAGTTGGGTGTCGACGTGTGAAAAAAGAAGATTCAAGGAAAAAATGAAAATAAATTTAGGGTTGTATATTGGGTTAGGGTTGTGGTGTTGATTATGTTGGGTCGGGGGAAGTAAACTTGACTCGGTGCATAGGAAGAACCCGATTTGACCGGCCTAATTTTGCTCCAATTGATATGAACCTTGAAATCGTACAAAATCATAGAAATCGTAGATTTTATGGGATTTTAAAGTTCAAAGATTTTACCATAAAATCAGGATCGGAACTCATCGGTAAGATCGTAAAATCGTAAGATTTTAAGATTAAAATCGGGATTTTGACTACATTGCCAATAATATCATCTGATTGTATGGAGGATGAGAAACAAGGGATGATGGTTTCATGAAAGATTACATCCCTAGATAAGCATACCTTCTAATCTTGTAGATCGAACAATTTGTACCCTTTTACACCATGGAAAAAACCGAGAAAAACATATTGCCTGGCTCGAGGTAGAAACTTAGTCCTATTATGTCAAGATGGGCTAGTATAGTAAAGTCATCTAAACACTTTCAATTGAGACAAGTCAAGTGGTTGATTGTACAAGACTTCATTGGGTGTTTTGTTGGCTATGGAAACTGTAGGAAGTCTATTTATGAGGTACACTGCATGAAGGATGAAGTCTGACCAAAATTTTAGAGGAAGGCTAGATTGAATTTACTAGATCGAGCCACAATCAAAATGGGTTGATGTTTCCTTTCCACTCTAGCATTTTGTTGTGGTGTTTCAATGCAAGACATCTAATGTATTATCCCATGTTCAGAGTAAAAATCAGGCATATGAAATTTTACTCCCTGGTCAAATCTAATAATTTTCACTATCTTATCAAATTGATTATGGATCATAACACAAAAATCTTACAGTAATTTTTTAGCTTCACTCTTGAGCTTCATCAGGTATGTCCAAACACACCTTGATTTATCATCAACAATAGTAAGGAAGTAATAAAAACCATTATTTCTGGAAACAACCAGAGGCCCCCAAATATCTACATGGATAAGATAAAAAAAACATATGGCCACAGACTGCCTAAAAAGGAAGTCTTCTCTGTTTAGAAAGGTGACAAACATCACAATGATGAACTGATGTGCTATCTATACTAGGAACAATTTTCTTCAACTCTTTGGTTCAAAATTCAAAAGGATGTCCAAGTCGCTAGTGCCACAAATCAAAGGATATGGGTGTAAGATTGGGAGTCTTGACCTCAAATCTCTTGGGCAAAACCAATAATCTTCCTGGTTAGAAAGTCTTGAATAGAGCAAATTGTGGATTTGAAGGTAAGTGATATAGGCAAAGATTGAGTGAGTTTGCTAACTGATACAAGGTTAAAAGAAAAGGGTGGCACAAACAGGACATCATGAATAACCAAGCGAGGTGATAACCTAACACTACCAGAATGAGTTGCAGGGTTTTGGAACCATTAGGTAGGGTTATAAACACCTTATGAATAGCTTGATGATTGATAAAACTAGAAATAGAGCAAGTAACATGATCAGTTGCACTGATATATAGGAACCACATATTTACCAGTTCCGATGGATGTTGCTGAAAATATGAGTTTGATAATGTATTTAACTGCATAATTAAGGCTTACCTATAGGTACCTTCCACATAATTAACTATTGGCTGTTGAGGCTGTTGTACAGAGCTATTAGATCCTGGTGAGACTGGTGAAGAAGGAGAGCCAAGTGAGTTGAGCTGAGAAAGGATTCTCTGAATCTGATTGACATCCTCATTAGACAGTCCCACATCAGTAAATCCATCAATAGACTCAGTAGAAACTCTAGTTTCTGGTTTGGACAAAATTACACCACCACCGGTATTATCAACACTCTACAGTTGTCTTGCAAAACCAAAAGAGTTTCTAGCCTCTCTATTCTTCTTCTTAAACTTATGGCAATTTGCTATAACATGATTATCCTTCTTACAGTACCTAAAAAATAGATTACCATGAGAACCCTATACACCCTTGGAATTTTCTTTTCCTGTTGACTTACCAGCAGCTAAGAGGGGAACAGATTCCACCTGTGATTCTTGATTAGGTTTAGTAACCTGTCTCTCGTGTTGCATTTTTTCCTCAAAAGTAATGAGAGCATGCTTTCCTAAAAAAAACATCCCAATTTTTCCTACTTAACAGTGCAATTATACACTCCTTAGCGAATATTAACGAATAATAGGGAACTAGTTGAGTCCTTAATTCCGGCCTTGATTTCTAAATCATTGTTGCAACCTTGATTTTTTTTTTTTGCAATAAAAGGAGGCAACATCCTATAAGAGAGACGAGGGATACATGAGGAGATTAATGGGATGCATTCCTCTCATCTGATGAGGATCCCTCTATGTAGTATCGAGCTCGAGATGCAATCAGGCGGGCGTAACGCACAGGTGGTACTGCATTTTTTATTACATATCTTAGTAATTTACAAACATAATATCAAAATCAACCCACCGGGACGAATCAATTACAAGTCAGAATAGTTGAAAGATAACTAAATATGTATCTGTAGAGATAGAATGAATGCACCTTGCATATCTGGAACAAAACAGGCGCACACGACTTTTAGTGATATACCACATACCAAAAGATTTTACAAGGAACCATTGCTCTAGTTTTGAAAACTCTCTCGTTTAGCTAGAGTCTAAGGGCGGCGGAAACCCTAGGGTTTTCCGGGTGTGTGCTGATTACTGATCCTTTGTGAAAAAGAAGTCCTTTTTTACATAGGTTGTGATTGTGAAAGCGGAGTTTTGGGTCTGGCTATTTAAAGAGGAGGACAGAAAGCGTTGTGCATCGAGCTAGTTTCGCTACAAGTGTTTTGTTACGAGGAAAACCATAGCCCAAGAAATCTTAGGTTTTTGGAGTAACGACTCTGTGCAAGAAGGTTGGTTAACCAGTTGTTACGAGTGAGAGTGGAGATATTGCTACATAATGGAAGCAATGGAGGAAGCGGTGAAGGATACGGCTACAGGCAAGGAACCCCAGGCCACTGTGGATCTGGAGACTTGATTTGGGCTCCTTGTGTTGCTCGAGTGTACTGGGGAAAGGAAGAGGGAAGTGAAATGGAGAGGAAGGGGAAAGGGATAGCTGTGCGCAGCTAGAGAGGGAAGGGAGGGTGGCGTCGGCCAAGAGAGGAAGAGGGAGAGGGATTAGGAGACTATTAGGGTTTAATCACTTTGCTAATCTCATTCAACGTAGAAAAATAATTTAAATAACAATTCCTAATTCCCGATGACTACCCCAACTTATTAAGGGGCTTGCTATTTGCCGCCAACCAAATTGCTATTTGCCGCCAACCAAAAAAAAAAAAAAAAAGTATATATATACATAGTAGGGTAAGGAGTTTCACAATCTACAACATATCCAACTTTCAGAGAACATATTGAATCAGAAAAATTCAACGCTCGCCGGAAAAGTCGCCGGAAAATCATCGGGAAAGCCTATCCTCGACATATACTGCGTACACGCATCAATGAATCATCACTAAGCAGGTGCGTAATTTTTTTGTAGTTTCGAACAATTTTTCTGACGATTTGAAACGAACAGACGGTGGGCCGAAAATTTCCGGCGGCCGGAACCTGGCCGGGCCGAAAATTTCCGGTGGCCGGAACCTGGCCGAGCCGAAAAATTCCGGCGGCCGGAACCAGGCTGAGCCGCAAGATATTTTCGAATTTTCGGCCCGGCCAGGTTCCAGCCACCGGAAATTTTCGGCCCGGCCAGGTTCCGGCCGCCGGAAATTTTCGGCCCGGCCAGGTTCCGGCCACCGGAAATTTTCGGCTCACAGTCTGTTTTTGCAATTTTTCGGAAAAATTCGATTTTAGGAGTTGAATTTAGAGTTTAGGAGTTGAATTTAGCGTGTAAGAATTGAATTTAGAGTTTAGGAGTTGAATTTAGCGGTTAAGAATTGAAATTAGCGTTTAGGTTCACAGGAATATTGATATATTATATTGTAATTGTAGGAAAAATGTCAGAGTTGTTACCGGCCGATCATGATTACACACATGAATTTGAGAATGGGATCCATTATGCAAGTGTGGAGTTAGCTGAGTTAGCTGCAAGAACAATCGCTCAGCAGTGTGGGTTCTTTATTGTTAGAGGATCACGGAAACCGAATACTGCTGGACAGAATCTTGTTACTGCCCTCTGTATGTATTGCGACAGAAGTAGTAGGATCGTTAAGTCTTATAAACCAGACCCTACGAAGGAGACGCGTGAGAATATTAGTTCGAAGGGTACTGGTTGCGAGTTTCAGATATGTATAAAGGAAGTATGGCAAAAGGATGGTCCAAACACATGGGTCATGGTGGGAGTGACAAGTCGTGAAACCTGAGCTAATAGAGGGTTTTACAACCATGAAAAGGTGTTGTATCCAGAACATCACCGACACAACAAACAGTTTAGTGAGGCTGAAAAAGAGAGGTTAAGATTAATGAGGAAGGCGGGGGTGAGACCAAATCAGCAGAAGACGACACTCAATACTGAAGGGGGTGTGCATCATGATATCAAACAGATGTACAACATAAATTCCAAGACAAGATTGGATGAGATGGGTGAAATGGATGCGATACAGTTTGCGCTTCACGGAGCTGAACATCGTGGGTACCATATCTGTTTGCAAAAGGACTCTAATAATGTGCTCACTAATCTATTTTTTGCGCACCCGACGTCCATTCAGATGTTGCATGCATGGCCGTACGTCATCCTCATTGACTCGACCTACAAGACCAACAGGTACGGCTGGCCATGGGTTGAGATTATTGGGGTTACTCCAGTGAAGAAGAATTTCAACATTGCATGTGCAATTATTAAGCAGGAAACAAAGGAAACATATGAGTGGCTACTGCGATGTATTAAAGGGTTGCTCGGTGATACGGTTCCGAATGTCATTGTGACAGACAAAGAAGGTGGTTTGCTTGCTTCTATTCCTGTGGTCTTCCCTCTCCCACATACTGTCCACCTACTATGTTTATGGCACGTCAACAACTGCGTGAAGCAAAAGTTTGAAGTGTTACTTGGTGGAATTGCAAAAAGAGAGGTAGCACATGCGGTATGGAAGAAATATTTCGACAAAGCTGCATGGAGTTGGACTCAGGAGGGTTTTCTTCAAAAGATTAATGAGTTTGAGAGGGTCTGGACAGTGAAGAACAAAAAAATGGTCGACTACGTGCGAGGTGAGTGGTTGCCTCATCAGACAATGTGGGCAATGTGCTTTTTCCAGAGCCCCCCAGGGCAATATTCTTACCCTTACATCGATGAGCTTTTTCCAGAGTTTGTTCGACCTTTGCTGGTAGGCGATTTCAACCCTAGTCCAGATGGCCATTGTGGTTTTAGGGCACTTTCTCATTGTATTTATGGGGATGATAGTCACTATCTGCTCATGAGATCGACGATTGTCCAAGAAATCCAACAACATTTTTGGAAGTACGAGAACTTGTATAATGGTGGTCCACTAGCTCACATTGACCGCATCAATTGGCTCGAGGCGGGTCACGCACCACCGGGGCGATGGATGGATTCTGAGGACTTGTTCGTGTTTGCCACCATCTACAACATCGCAGTCATGGTCTTCACATACCAGGTGTTTGATGTCAATAATGGAAACCGTCCACTACCCAACCGCTACGATGATGCCTATACTGTATTTCCTATTGATGCGGACCCAGGTACTTTGCCACCAACCATGTTCTTATCACTGCACTATGTGAACAACCACTACATTCGATTGTACTTCAACCAGAATCAGTTTCCTATACCCCCTTTGCATCCACTTTGGAATGGGATCGCAAATCCTAATGTGGCGGAGTGGGGAGCTATTCTCGAGGTTGGACAGAATTTGTTTGCGAGCCTTGGTGGTCGGCAGCGAGCACGGCAGAGAGACCCCCGAAGAGCTAGGGGAAGGGGTAGGGGTAGGAGCAATGCATAGTGTTGCAATACTCTATTTATATGTTGTTGTTTTTCTAGTTGTATTTTTAATGACCCTAGTGTCATTATGAACTTATGGATTTCATTATGTTCTAGTTGTATCTTTAATGACCCTAAACATGCAGTCTAAACACAAACATCCGATCCAAACATACATAAGTAGTCAAACATCCGATCTAACACACAAACATGGAAACATGCAGTCTAAACATAAACATCCGATCCAAACATACATAAGTAGTCAAACATCCGATCTAACACACAAACATGGAAACATGCAGTCTAAACATAAACATCCGATCCAAACATACATAAGTAGTCAAACATGGAAACATCAAAACAACTAAAAATCCCCTGGAGGAGGGGGGAGTCCCTGAGAAGCCCAGTACTCAGTCCACACATCCTGCACTCCGTGCAGTGCCCTGTAGGCTCGTCGATAATGCTCAAGAAACTCCTCCTCGGTCCCTGCTGCTGCTCGAACCGCAGGTGCAAACGTGTACAAAAGGTCGCGACCACGCTGCATAAAAAAGAAACAAGAACAATTTTTAGTTTCATGCTAAGTATATTTATAATAGAGTAACGATATAATGGTCAAATCTTACCGCTGCGGAGTCAATAAGTCGATCTGCTTCTTCATCATCCCGTAGGACTCTACAATGAGAGTGCGCCACGAACCAGTCAAGATAGTCTCTCGTAGTCTCATATGGATACGTCGTCCACGGCCGAGAGTACATGTCTATATGAACCATGTGGGATAGCAGAGCATCCCATGCAGCATCAAAACTCTCAGGAATCCGAAGGACATATCCACCAGGTGCCTCTGGTCGGTCTGCTCGCTGAGGACGCGAAGGGGCAGGCGGTACCATCTGAACATATCCAAACTGTCGGAGGCAACAGGCTGGATCGTAGAACTCGCCTATGTCACCGAACCGGATGACTCCAGTGTACAAAGAGCGACGCACTGCCTGATGAGGCCTCTGATGGAAAGGTGTCCAAAACACATCAGAAGGGGTCAAGCTGTCAAGAGCTCGACGGTAGAACGCCAACCTCACACTGGGATCCGCCACAGAACCAGGTGCCGGCTGCCCAATCCATCGTGAAGCCCAAGCATCATCAGGTCCAACGGCGGCAGGCTCGAAGTGAGATGGCCTGAAACCCGGAAAGTACTCGTAGATCCAACACTGCAGAAGTGTGAGACAACCAGCCATCCCCCTGGCACCAGCACGAGACGCCTGACCAAGGTATCTGTACAACCAAGCAAGTGTACCTGACGCCCAACTATACTGATCTAACTCCTCCAACTCGTCCAAAAATAGGTTCACCACCGACCGAACCCTGTCTCTACTCTTGTCCACAAACAAAGTGGACCCCAACAACAACAACAAGTACGACTGCGCCTCTGTCACATGTGTCCCGTGGCTCTGCAAGTATCTGGACACCATCTCTGCAAGAAAACCACCCTTCTCGTACCACTTACCCCTATTATTATATCCAGGGACCTCCGTACGACCACTCAACTGCTCCGAGTTCATCCCAAGAAGCGCACACAAACCCGCCTCCGGATGGTCAAGCTGCGCAGAACTCCTACTCATCAGTCGTCCCTCAACAGGAATCTGCAGTAAGTACTGAACATCGTGGAGGAGGATCGTCATCTCTCCAAAAGGCAAGTGGAAGGTGTTCGTGTCTGGCTGCCACCTCTCCACAAAAGCTGAGATCAAAGCATCGTCAATCGCTATCCTGCGGAACATAGAGTACATCAGGTGCTGGAGACCTGACTGCTGAACCAGATTCTCCGCCTCAACATGACTAAACACGTAGCTACTCAAATAAGCAACCGCCGATGTACGGCTGTAGCAACTGATGACCCCTCGATCTCCAGCCCCCGTCCAAAGCGCATAGGCAACGTGTCCACGAAAGCTCCTAATGAGGCTAGGATCCGTAGGTCCACCAGGACACTCACCAACAAGCTCCCACGGTGGAGGACCACTCGAACGTCCTCCCCTACTCCGTCCAGTCCCCGAGCTCTCTGTCTCCTGACGAGCAGGTGGTACGAAGCGCCCAGCTCGGTCCCTATACAAAGCAGGACGTGATGTTGCCGTACGAGACGACACTCGTCCATGTCCACGCGTAGGTGGAGGGACCTCGATATCCTCATCACTATCGTCCTCATCAAACTCAGCCGAGACCACTCTGGATGCAGCACCCTGGTTCCTCCCATGGGAACCAGACGCCCGTGATGCCGAACGAGCAACTACAGTAGGAGCCTCTAACTCATCCTCCCCTAAATTTGCCTGTGACTGATGTCCAATATCTCGAGAGCGCTTATTCTCCTTATTCTTCCTTCGTGCTGATACATCAACAACCCTACCATTGAATCTATTCAACTCATCCCCACCCGCATGACCCGCATCATCCATATCTAATTATCTACAAATTTACAAAATATCATACTTAGATGCGCACTAATTAATTAATTTTCTATTAACTAATGTAATATTAACATCAATTGTTAATTAATCACAAATTAATTAAATTTCTATTAACTAATGTACTGAATATTAACATTAATTGTTAAATCAATTCTTAATTAATTAAAATTCCATTAACTAATCTAAGTAATTAAACATTCAAACGCCTATTACAAAAAAAAAACATTTATAAACCAACTGAAATAAATATTAACACTAATTGCTAATTTCTACTAACCAATTAAGTATTTATTTATTTATTAATTAATTATCGTATTAAATTAAATTAAATACAAAAACTGGCCGGGCCGAAAGAAATTAAATTAAATTTCTATTAACTAATGTACTGAATATTAATATTAATTGTTAAATCAATTCTTAATTAATTAAAATTCCATTAACTAATCTAAGTAATTAAACATTCAAACGCCTATTACAAAAAAAACATTTATAAACCAACTGAAATAAATATTAACACTAATTGCTAATTTCTACTAACCAATTAAGTATTTATTTATTTATTAATTAATTATCGTATTAAATTAAATTAAATACAAAAACTGGTCGGGCCGAAAGAATTTTGCGGCCGGTGCGCCGCCGGGCCGAAAAAAATTTGCGGCCGGAGCGTCGGCCGAGCCGAAAGAATTTTTCGGCCGGTGCGACGGCCGGCCGAAAATTTCTTTCGGCCCGGCGACGCCGCGGCCGCAAATTTTTTTCGGCCGGCCGACGAACACGCCGCCGGAAATTTTTTGGGCGGCGAGGTCGGCGACCGGTCGAAAAAAATTTGCGGCCGCGGCGTCGCCGGGCCGAAAGAATTTTTCGGCCGGCCGTCGCACCGGCCGAAAATTTTTTTCGGCCGGCCGACGCTCCGGCCGTAAATTTTTTTCGGCCCGCCCTGTTTTTCGCCGGAAAACTGGAAAACTGGCCGGAAAAAATAAACTTACTTGTTTTCCGACGATTGAGGGCGACGGGAGGTTAGCCGACGATGGAAGAACGGTGCCGGCGACGGAGGCACTGGGCTCGTCAACAGAAGTTTTTGTTGGAATGAGTCAAATGTTCATGGGTATCCGAATTTATAGAATGAAAGGAAGGGAAGGGAGGGAAAATTCAAAATTTGAATTCAAATTTTTTTTTTGTTGGCGGCAAATAGCAATTTGCTTGGCGGCAAATAGCAATTTGCTTGGCGGCAAATAGCCGTTCACCTTATTAAACCCCCAATTAAATCCCCCCAATTACCCATAAATTCATAAACAATCATAAACTAGCAAATAAGTCCAAATGCTAATTAAATCGAAATGCAGGTTTCTATCAATGATGAACCGTTGGAGGTTGAAGACACTGACGTCGATGTGCTCCGCATGGAGGTAGTACATCGTCTGGGGCTGATTGGATGCCTCCTATATGAAAAAGAGCCAAACATCAAGTCAATGAAAATAGCGTTAGCAAAGGCGTGGAAGCTACACAAGGGTTTTCAGATCACAGAACTGGGTGACATTGTTAGAAACCCACTTTATTAAGGATTTTATTATTATTGCTATTAGTAATTATGGGGAGTGGCGGCTAATTAATAGTAGGGTTTCATTAGTTTTATTACTAGGATTTTCGGTATTTTCCTATAAATATGTATGCATGTTCTTTCATCAAGATTAAGCAAAGAATATAAAAAAAAAGATTAAGCAAAGATTAATCAAAGAACAACCTCCCAAAACCCTAATCTCTTTCTCTCTCAATCTCGTCTACCTCTCTCTCCAAAGGCTTAGGCCATTCTTGCTGTTCTTCCCCATATTCTTCTTCCAAACCCTAATTTCTATTCTCAATCCCTAAATCTCTTTCTATCTTTCCGATTACGTCAATCTTTAGAAACCCTAATAAGCGGGTTTCTAACAAACATGCTATTTGCTTTTCAATTCCTTGATATGGACGATAGGAATAAAGTCTGTTACGAATGACCCTGGTACTATGAGAATTCACTTATTCTGTTCAAGGCAAGCACAACTATCCAAAAGCCAAAGCCTGAGGACCTACATATGATTGATTTATGGATTAGAGTTGAAGGTTTACCAGTAGAATTAAGAACACAAAAGATGGCAGAGAAGATTGCTACAAGATTTGGGGGGCTTGATTGGTTTGATAATGGAGCTGGAACGATGTGGGATGATTATATGCGCTTGAGGGTGTATCTCTTGATAAATAACCCCCTCAAGAAAAAGATTAAACTGAACATATCGGGGAATTTAGTGGAATATCTAGTAAAGTACGAGAAGCTGCCCATGTTTTGCTACTCATGTGGGCGAATTGGGCATCCCAAATTGAAATACAAGATGGAGCCGAAGCCTGAAGTGGATCCTTTTGGATACGAGCTAAGGGTGGCAGCCCCTGGACCCAAAAATTGGCTATCCTACACGGCTAAGAAGGGAGATGCTGAAGTTTGGGCTGCCTTGAGGCAGAAGTTTGAAATGGAGAGCATTGGCTCTAATTCAAATCACGATATGGCTCTGGAATATGAGTAAACCCTTTAGCCACCATTCTGGCTTTATGTCATTCCAATGAACTATCAAC